TATTTGGTCACACCTGACTCCACCGGCAGCCCAAGTACGAATGACGAATTTAAAAATTCGTTCCTAACTCGAAAATAAAACAAACGCTGACATAACAAAAACATAACGAAACAACGTAAAAGATTCTATTTGCGACGTATAAAAATCAAAAGAAATCGCCGACGTAAAAACAACTCTCAAATGGTTTTATTACTTGGCAACGCTAAAATGATTGAAAACACTTTTGGGTATTTCAACTTGAAAGATACGAATAACAAACATGGAAAAAATTCTTCGTTTTATTTTTTAAACATATATAAGGCGATCTCAATATATTTCATATACGAGGGGATCTCAATATAAAATGCTACACGGTAAGCCCACATTTCGAAGGCCTCTACTTTTTCATCAATGTTGCGGTCATTGTCCACGTCTTCATTCCATATAACAAAACCGGGAGTACATAACATTTCAGAAGTCGAATTTTGAGAGGTAGGGTGAGGCTTTTAGAGGTGATAATTTGCTTCATGCTAGTGAACGATGCTCTTGCCTTTTCTACTCTTATACGTATTTCCTTCGCTTGATCAAAATTTAAGTTAACTGTTGTTCCCAAGTAGATGTACGAATCCACGTGTTCAATTCTTTCATTGTCTAATATCAGTTGCTGTGGTGGTTGTTGGGTTTTGCTTACTAACATCCATTTGGTTTTTGTGATATTTAGTCTGAGTCCGTATTGTGCACTTGTTTTTTGTATCTTACTCATTAGGCAACTCAGTTCCTCCATGCTACTTGCTAGAATCACAGTGTCATCAGCATACCTTATGTTATAAATTATTTCTCCATTTATCTTTATGCCTTCTGTGCTTTCCTCCAGCGCTGTCTTAAATACTTCTTCTGAGTATATATTAAAGAGAATTGGAGACAAGATACAGCCCTGTCGTACCCCTTTCTTGATCTCAATTTTATTGGTCAATGTAGATCCTACTTTCACTTTAGCTGTTTGATCCCAATAGAGACTCGCTATTGTTCGAATGTCTCTGTAGTCGACTCCGATCTTATGGAGAACTTCAATTATCTTTTCGTGCCTAACGTTATCGAATGCTTTTGCGTAATCTATAAAGCATATGTACACGTCTTTGTTCATATCTCTGCAGCGCTGGATGAGTACCTGTAGACTAAAAAGTGCTTCTCTTACCCCAAGAGGGGAGCAACAGGGATGCAGTATGTCACCCTTACTGTTTAATTTATATATTAAGGCAACCCCCGAAAATTGGAAAAACCTCTGCCAGGGAATGGGAATCCCCATAGGAAATGATGTACTGTTCTCCCTGAACTTTGCGGATGACCAAGTCGTCCTAGCTCAAGATTCTTATGATCTACAATTTATGATAAAGAAATAAAGATCTCTATACAGATAAAAAAAATAAAAAAACAAAATTTAAAGAAAAATTTTAAAAAATTCAAGTACATAAATATAGCTATACAAACAGCAGCAAAGAAACATCTTACAAAAACAACAACAAAGAGTAAGGGGTGGATGACATAAGATATACTAGACTTGATGGAACAAAGAAGAATGATGAAGAATTACCCAGACAAATACAAAGAAATAAATAAACACATAAAAAGAGAATAAAAGAAGCCAAAGAGGAGTGGATTAAAGAACAGTGTGAAGAAATGGAAACCTATGGAAAAAGTACGATGTGTTCAATATATACAAAAAAGTAAAAGAGATAGGAAACAGGAAGCATAAAGAAACGCCAAATAGGTAAACTTAAAGACAAAAATGGAAATCTTATTGTAGATCTAGAGAATAAAATAAAAAGATGGACAGAAATGAATGATCTGACAGACAGACCTGAATGAATTATTTGAAGACGATAGAAACAACTTAACTCAGATAATCAATGCAACTGGGCCAGACATATTGAAAGAAGAAGTAGAATACGCAATAAGAAACGCTAAAGATGCAAAAGCAAATGGACCTGATGAAATTCCTACAGAACTGTTGAAGCTTTTAAATGATAAATCCATAACCATAATATTACATCTATTCAATACAATATACAGTACTGGTATAATACCTCAAGAATGGTTGCTCTCTACGTTTGTCACCATACCAAAGAAAACTAAGGCAATGCAATGCAATTCAGATCATCGAACAATCTCCTTGATGAGTCACTTGCTTAAAATATTTATTAGAGTCATCCACAACCGAATCTATAAAAAGTTAGATATCGATATTAACGATACACAGATGGGATTCAGAAAAGGATTAGGTACAAGAGAAGCTCTCTTTGCCTTAAATGTCCTAATACAGAGATGTCTAGATGTTAACCAAGAGGTGCATGCCTGCTTTATAGACTTTGAAAAGGCCTTTGACAAAGTACGCCACAATCAACTCAAAGAAATCCTGGAAGGTAAGAACATCGACACCAGAGACTTGCAAATAATATTAAATCTGTACTGGAACCAGCGAGCTAATATAAAGGTAGAAGACCAAACTTCGGACGAAATAGAAATACGTAGAGCAGTACGACAGGGTTGTATATTGTCACCGCTTTTGTTTAATATCTATAGCGAACAATTTGCCAAGAAGCTCTCTCACATGCAAACGAAGGGATAATAGTCAATGGAGAAGTTATCAATAACATTCGATATGCTGACGATAATGTGATAATGGCAAGAACAGTGGAAGATCTACAACATCTAGTTGAAAGTATGAATGAGATATGTAATACCTACGGCATAAGGATGAACGTCAAAAAAACCAAATATATGACCTTCAGTAAGAATCCAATTCATGACACCAGTATCACAATAGACGGTACCCAACTTGAAAAGGTAAGCGAATACAAATACTTGGGAACCCTCATTAATGAAACAGGTGACCAAAATCACGAGATAAAAAGACGTATTGAAATTGCCAGGTCTACCTTTATAAAAATGAAAAAATTATTTTGTAATCGTGATATTAGTGTTCATCCACGAACTAGAATGTTAAAATGCTATGTATTCAGTACTTTGCTTTACGTTGTTGAGGCATGAACTCTTAAATAGAGGAATATTAAAAATCTTGAAAGCTTTGAGATGTGGTGCTACCGCCGTATACTAAGAATAAGTTGGGTGGATGGGCGTAGGAAATTTCGATACTAAGCAGGTAGCGACTAAAATTGAATGGCAATTTTCGACACCAGCCCCAATTCCCGTTTTTATCTTACAGGTATATTCGACACCAAATAAATATAGCTGCGATATAAATAAAATACCATAATTAATTAATTTATTTATTTTAATAAAAGTAATGTACCAAATCACTTCTTGTGATGGTGAGGTCCTCACAGCCTATTGTAAACACTTTTGCGGAACACTTAGTGTTTCTTTGGATGCAGCGCCAAAATATCTCGCCGCTTTTTAACACTTTCTGTTTCGAGAACGAATGATGCTCCACCACTAATAAATCTCGACCACGGGAACTTTTTATCAAACTCATTTTTTAAATATCCGTATACGTGCACAAGTCAACGTCAAACAAGAAATAAATTACAACTGAAATAATTTAGTCACAAGTACACAAGTGCCACGCCCCCCGCCGTGACAATAAATATTGGGCAAACCCGCTTGTCCTGCTTTGGTGCACATGTCCATCGCCGCTAATTACAAACCTACCTGCTTAATGCCGCGGTGTCGTAATTTCCTATAATAAAATTTGACCCTTCGATTACCCCAGGTACAAAGACAATTTGGTGTCGAAAGTTCGCCCACCGGGGTGGATAGAATTACAAATGAAGAGGTAATACGCAGAATAAATAACGATCCAGAAGTTATTATGAATATAAAAAAGAGAAAACTTTAATACTTAGGCCACCTGATGAGTGGACAAAAGTATTTACACGTTCCTACAAAATATAATGCAAGGAAAGATCCAAGGACGCAGAAATCCAGGCCGTAGAAGAATGTCCTGGATGAGAAATTTAAGAGAGTGGTTTGGCTGTACCACTAACGAATTATTCAAAACAACAGTTAATAAAATTAGAATCGCCATAATGATATCCAATCTCCGATACGAGAGGCACTCAAGAAGAAGAAGATACAGATAATATGTAAAATGGGGGTTACAAGTCAGCATGAAGAAAACAGAATATTTAGTTATCAATTCTGATGCAAGGTTGGAAGTGTTGATAGACGAGGACGTGAAAATCAAACAAGTCGAAAAATTTAAATATTTAGGTGCACTCTAGGATGATTGGCGGAGATGAACGAGAATACGGCGATGGCCATCTCCAAAATGTATTGTATTTACAAGTTGGATTAATGTCAAATGTCAAACTTATTTTAACCTTCAATTGTGGCTTATTTCCATTAAAATTGTAATTACTTTAAAATGCCATAAGTAAATAGCTTCAGAACAATAGAAGATCTAGATAAGAAAAGGGAGTGTTTCAAAAATGTCGTTAGCCTTACAGCGGCCATCCCACTTTCGGAGTACGGTACATGCGACAGTCAACTGCGCACAAGTAAGAGAGGGTGGTTTTAGTTGGTAGGCAGGATAATAGACACTTGAATCTTTGGCACTGCTATCTTTAGTACTTTAAATTAAACTAAAACCCAAATTTCAGGGGCTCAAAATGGAGGTAACATAAAAAAATTTCAAAACCCCCCCTTCCTCAGTCAAATTCTGAGGTCTACACGTCTTCTTTGATTATATACTTGATTTGTGAGACTTTTGACGTAATTTAACATTTCGTTCAGAACTTATCTGCTCAATATTCTCTGTCCACCGCTTTTCTCCTTATTTTCTATCATCTCCAAACGTTATTAAAACGTTACCCGCACTTTGTATGCTGCTAAGTGTTCATGGTATAATTCTTATATGTCACTATTTTGTTCCTAATATCAATTTTATACTTTAATGTTTGTTTTCCTGTTCATTATCCTGTTTCGCTCTTTTACCTTTTTCAATTTTTTTGACTTTTGACTAAATATATTACAACTATACTGAAATTTCAAACAACGAATTTCCTGATGAACATTTATTTCAGAACTTTGAACACAACATTATAAACAGAGATCATATCATTCTTGGACGGAACAACGCTAGATTAAGTAATAAATAATACAACTTTACAAATACAAAATTTAACATTTGATATTATCGAAATTAACGATATATTCAACGAAAACGAACGAACTCTTAACAAAAAACTTTTATATATTCACTCGTTCTCTCTAACAGAGTCTCCGGCTCTTTCAATCTTTGCGTGACACAATGGACAGGATCTTAATGCCACCATATATTTCTCAATGGCTGGATGCTTACAAGACTTACATATCCATATTGGTTCTCCCACAATAGGTCGAGCTGTCACAATGCAGGTAGGGAAAGTAGATTCACATTTAGTACATTGGTTCATCCTTAAAAAATGTGTAATCAAAATTATTTGTCGAAAGAAAATGTAAAAAGTATTTTTGAAGTGTGTATATTTTAGGCAATTAGGCAAATAGGCTATTCTGCCTACCTCCTCAGATCAAACAATGGTCGGGTTCTTACACCCGCACCATGACAAAAAAAAATTTTTTTCAATTTTTTTAACGTGTTTGTGAAGTCCAGTGTCGGTTTTTTTTTATATGTTTTTTTATATGTTCTAAGAATTGCAACAAAATCATAATTTGGAAATATAAGGAAATGAGATCTCTCCTTTGTAGTGGTATTTAAAAAATTGACCATAGCTCTGATGATGGCTTTGTAAAGCCGAAAGCGCTCAGCTAGGAATTGCCTAAAATATACACACTTCAAAAATACTTTTTACATTTTCTTTCGACTTGTCATAAGTGTGTACAAAAAATATCAGTCTTTTGAAAATTATTTGTGCAAGTAAAAAATAATTTTAAATAAAAATCTATAATTAGTATCAATGGGTATCAAATTTGTAAAAGTTCTCTCCCAACTGTATAACTGTTCTGACAATTTTATTCATCCATTCATAAAGTATGGAAACGTTCTACTATCTTACAAATTGTAACCTATATCATATTTAACACTTATATTTACGTTATACTGAGTATAAAAAAAACAAGTGTTTTTTAATATACTAATCCATGTAACTTAAATTGGACGGATTGATGAGATACGATGACTTGGCTATAAATTATGGATCATCCGATCCTCGAATTTAGTCTGATCTACTCCAAAACTCTGCCTCATTTATTGTAACATATCAGACAGCACCAATTGTGGTCTTCTTGCATCTCATCCGGATTATTGTAACATGATGAGCTAGCAATATCTATTTGTTTGGCCGTTTTCAGTTATCAACCAAATGCATACAACGATCAACGTTGCTTGGGACGATGACCATGCTGATACAAGCATAACCCTATATGTGCACTATACGCACGAAGGAATATGGCACTCATAGTCAATATCTACCAACAAACCCAGACGGTCCGAACAAAGCAAATCTCCAAAACGACTGCTGCAAAATATGTGCAATGTTATAGTTCCCAAAAGATACCAGCGACATGGCGCTTAATACATCCAAGATTAAGTCATCGATACCCACTCCGAATGGCATCTTGACTCCTCTTCTTGCTCTTCCCACCTACTGCGGGACTAGACCATGACCCAGGTGCATCTGCTGACCTCCAAAATATGGTAGGAGCCTGAGCCACAGCCCTGAGCTAAGCTGGCTCATCCAAACTAGACCGAACCATCTCCAGATGGACGCATCCAACTCATAGTACATCTTCAGAGATGCCAGAGCGAAAGTTCTGTCTGCCCCACAGTGATGCCAGACCAAGATCTGAACACATCCAAGATGGGAGGCCAACTCCACTACGTCGAACCGAATACCTAGGCCAGTTTCAAGACAACTGAACCGTTATCAAAGCCTGCCAGACAACAAGACAAACAACCAACGCCAAGAATGATAACAACTAAGCTCCTCCCAAGATGCAGCTACCAGCTAAACTCAATCTATTCCTGCGATTGGTCGATACGAACAAAAAAGTTCTAAATCCTAATCGACACCGGAGCATCAATGAATTACATCAGTTCCGACTTGGCGTCACCAGCAGACGTGCGGAAGCACGCCAGAGGATCGTTCAATTAGCCTGCAAAATTAAGATCAGCAGCAGCCAGAGCACCGTCGAAGTAGTCGTCCTCTTCGAACACTAGGAGTGTTTAAATTGCTGCACAGTCTTTTCACACCTAAACCATGACATTATAATGATGAATGCAATGTCTCCATGATAAAGAGATCCTAGTAACCATCAACTGAAAATATCTACACGTGGTATCACTGGAAGTCACTCACCCTTAGGAAGAGGTACTCTACTCCGTAGCTCCAAGAAGACCAGTATCCATAATTTGCCCTCCTGGCCATACGGGACATGCTGGAGAGGTACCAAGACGGCTTTGACAAAAAACTCAAGCAACCCAGTATAGGAGATCTGGTGATGGTAATCAGACTGATGGGCAAGAAAGCTAACTCTTCAAGTGGTCGTCAGCCAATAAGACATATGCCAAGAGGTCCAGGATATGTTATCCCTATACCCAAAATCCATCATGGAGCTTGAAACCGTCAAGATCTTCACAACAGTGTATCTGTACTCATGTTTTAGGGGTGTCCTCCAACAAATGTCAGCTACGCATTTCTTAAACAAATACTGCGAATATCAGGGCTTCGGGATAACGTGAGATACGTGAGAACAAACAACTAGACAAGAAATTTCATCGGCACTGCCAACTAGCTTCGCGACGGATTTAATGATAACACCACTAGCTGACCTGACGACGAGATAAGAAGTTTAAATAGGCTCCCGAATCCGAAGAAAACTATAAACAGATCAGAGGTACCATATCTGGAGATCTCCAGGTCGAACAACCCGACGTCAACCAGCGTTTTAGCCTGTAGCAGGATGCTTCTGAATACGGCATGGCTGCTGTTCTGTTCCAGGCCTTTGTCGGCAACAATAGAATGGTAGCCTATATGTCCACGAAGCTACAATCAACAGAAGAAAGGTACCACATAAATAAAAAAGAGTGTTTTGAAATAACCTGGGCACTTAAAAAGTTTCCACAATTTTCTCTGTGAGATGAAATTTACAATCTACACAGATAATCACGTCCTCCTATGGTTGAAAAAATATACGTTCGACAAAGCTAAGATAGTATAATCTTGGTCAGATGAGGTTAGTTAATAAAATCTCCAGATGGTCCCTGCTATTACGAAATCAACTTCGAGGTATACATTCCTGGAAAGGACAACGAACTTCCGGACAACGAACTTCCGGACTTTTCTCTCCAGAAAATCAGCAGACGACCATCATTTCACAACTGACTGCAGTGTGTACAGACTTTCTGTAATCTTGACTCTCTAAAAAACATTGAATATAATTTTTCATTTAAGAAATTAGGTTCTAGAGAAGAGTACATAAAGATCCCAGGAAAAACTTATTCGGGCTACAAATAGAGTGCTTACTTCTACAGACAACATGTCTTAAAAAGTATCTTACTTTAGTATATTAGATAATGTCAATAATAGTGTACTAACCAATCTTGTATTTTATTTCGACAATTATCACATTCCACAGTTTTTAAATCTGGATCTTTGGCTCTATTATGTGAAAATATTTTTAAAGCCAGGTCCTTATATCGATGAGCATCTGCTTCGGGTATCTAAAAAATAAGGTTTTTATAAATTTGTTTCTCTATTAGTTACAAACGCTTTAAAAACTAACGATTTTGCACAATAAATCACAATACTCAAACTATTTTTGCTAACGGTCTCATAATTGACTCGACAAATTGGATTTTCATATTGTTTTATTAAAATAAATCGATTCCTTACATCATCGTATAACTCCGCCGATGATCTCGAACGACTGAGCAAATGAGCCATTAAGGGCAAAATGTCACTTTTCTAAGCCTACTTTCTCGTAGTTTTATCTATCAGAGTCAGTCTAATCACCACGTAATAATTTCTAAAATAAATAGGAGAGAAGAATACTTACGTTTTCTAAATGTTGTAATTTCAAAAAGGCTGCTTGGCACACGTTGAATGTTCCTGCTAAACAGGAAATATGAGCCAATAATGAGTAGATCTCTCGAGGTCCAATATATTCTTCGTAATCTCGTAATTTATATGCGGGACGTAAGGCATCTAGCATGTGCAAGCCATAAAAATGTTTATGAGCCATTATCAAATAATGATATGCTTCAGCACCTTTCCAGGCGTTCTCCACCATAAGTTCATCAGTAGGTTGCCATTCTTCTACAGAACATTTTAATGTGTGAAGTAACAAAATTTATTACAAATTTACACAATATTTAATACAGTAAATCAATAAATGTAAAACTACTAAAACCATTGAATTAATATGATAAAATACCTATCCCAAAAAAGAATAACCAAAAAAAGCAGAAACACATTTATCACAGAGAATGATGACCAAGGAAGGTCTTGGTGAAAGAAATATAAATAAAAATAAATTATTCCCAAAAGGAAGAATTCGATGGTTCTGTACAGAAGTGAAGGAAAGATGTAAAGAAAAGAAAAAAGCTTACCTAAAATACATGTCAACCAAAACGGAAGAGGCATACCATAATTACAAGACAATAAAAAAAGAAACACATGCACTCCTAACAAAAATAAAAAATTATCACTGGGAACCCTTTTCGAAAGAAATGGAATATGATTTTTATGGTCTGCAAAAAAGAAATATGGCGCTTTATAAGAGGTAAAGAACGGAGATAAAGGAACTAATAGAACAAGACGCATGGAAAACGATACATGAATTGACTACCTAAATAAGATCTATGCAGAGGAAAAACAAACGACGCTAGAACTGGAAATACCAGAAATTACCACAAATGAAGAACTTGAATATAAATATACAGGAAGTTTGTAAAATAGAAGAACTGAAGCTGAAGCTGAAGAACAGAAAAGCAGCAGGTAAAGGCGGAATACCAAACGAATTACTGAAATATTGGGGGCAGCAATTACACAGCAAATAACAACATTAATTAATTACAAAATTAATTAATCATAAAACACAATAAAATACAGTAAGAATGGAGAACGAGCGAACTAATTCTATTATTGATAGAATTATGGAGTGACAACCTTTCATAGAGGTATTAATCCGTCAATGAATTAGCAGAATTGCTTATAAAGAGGAAATGGAAGAAGAATCCATGATAGAAATATAATAGAAAAAATTTATTAAAGTAGGTAGTAATCTTTCTGATCCAAACACTCGGGAAAGGCAGAAGTACCCAGGCATAACAGATTCATTGTCAATCATTGTCAAAGAAGGGATTCGTAACTGTATTCAAAATTTCGTTCTTTTAACTGATCGCATCATGATACAGCTGTAAAATAAATTACTGAATACTAATATAATACAAGTCTATGCACCAACAGCTGACATACGAAATGAAGAAATTGAGTAATAAATATATATATATATATATATATATATATATATATATATATATATATATATATATATATATTTATACCCGGTATTTAGGCGGCACACGCCCTTCCGGTAGGGATCTATGGAGCAGTACACCGAGCTGGGGATTAAACTCACATCCGCTAAACCACAATAGCAGAGAAGCGAGTGAGAATCCGGCCGATCAGCCCGCTTAATATATATTAATATATAATATATATTATATATTAATATATCATATATTAATATATATGAAGCTATTACTATGGGAGACATCAACTCAAAAGTTAGTGCCGAAATCACCCAAAACATAACCGGAAAGTATGAACTTGGAAAAAGGAACGGACGGGGACACAGACTAATACAGTTCTGCCAAGAAGGGAAATGCATTAGTAAATACTTGGTTTCAGCAACCTAAAAGACGATCAGCTGATCAATAGAGAAATATAGTCAGATATCAAATCGACTACATTATCATTAATAGAAGGTTTGGAAACAGTACTACATCTGCAAAAACATATCCAAGTTCAGATACAGCAACTAACCAAATTCTGCTCTGTGGTGGATTCAATCTAAAACTAAAGGGAATAGAAGCTGCGATAATTTAGAAGAAACCTAATAGTCGACTCCTAAAAATGTCGTAATAGCATATGAGTCCGAAAATAGGATAAATCGTGAGATAAAAACAGTTAGAAAGATCTGAGCAAGAAAATATCGGCAAAATCTAAATCTAAATATCACTATAACAAACAAACTTTTGCAACCAGAAAAAGACATAATAAAGAAAAAAGCATTGGATCACCGATAAAATACAAGACCTTATTCAACAAAGAAGCAAGTGGAAAAATAAAGACGAAATATAGAGAAATATATCGACAAATAAGATACAAAGTTAAGCGAGAAAAAAGGGGCTTGGATGGAAGCAAGATGTCGTGAAATGGAAGAACTACAAAGAAAACATGAGTTTAATATCCACAAAGATATTGCCTACCTAAAGGACTGGCTCAAACTTCTAGATGACGAGAATGTCCCAAAACTAACAAACATTTATAACTACATATACGAAACTGGAAGAATGCCACAAATGTGGTTGGAGTCGACATTTAGCCCATTCCCAAAAAACCTAATACATCGCCATGTAAAGACTGTAGACTAATTAGTCTTATGAGTCACTTTTTCAAACGTGAAGAAAAATTGGGAAACAAACAATTCGATTTTGCAAATGGTTTGGGAACAAGGGAAGTTTTGTTCTCAATGCTAACATTACTTGAAAGATCATGCGAAGTACAAAAACCAATTTACGTCTGATTTACATATTTTCAAAAGGCGTTTGATAGGTGATAGGGTCTAGCATGATAGGCTGTTTGATTATCTAGAAATTTTAATAGATGATACAGATTTGAGACTTTTACATCTATATTGATATCAAGAAGCTTCTATGTTGGTAGACAGCAAAAAAACAGCAAAAATGAGCAGAATGGACCTTAGATTTTCTTATGGAGATTTACATGGGAAAATGACCTGTTTTGTGCTGGAACTGTTACTACCCCTTTACTAACTTACAACTAAGAATCAAGTTCTCTTCAAAGAGAAAACTTTAATATCTGGGGTATATAATGAGAGGTAGCAGATACTGGACACTGCAGTTAATACTCAACGGAAATATAGAGGGAAAAGAGGAAATGGTACGAAGAAATGTTCATGTCTCCGCAACCTTCGTCAATGGACTAGCTTATCAGCGGATGAATTATTACATGCCGCGAAAGATCGAGAACAATATCGACAAATGGTCATGGAAGCTACCCATGCCTAATTTGGGCACGGCACTCAAAGAAGAAGAAGATACTATTCTGTAATCACTGAGACAAATAATTTATTAATTTATTTTATTACCTGTTTCCGCACTCTTGTGTAATTCAATCAACTTTGCTGCATATACATAATGCTTTTTAACTATTAACAGATTTTTATCTGGTTTTTCTGCTTCCTTCTTGGCAAGCTGCAGAAACAATTCAAATGTATTAACTATATTAAGTATTAGTTCAATCTACATACACAAATAAAATATTAGGGGAAGTACAAAATGACATATGGTTTTATTATTTGATCACAACTCTTGCTTAATAACACACAGAACTGTATCTACCCCCATCCGATTCCATATTTCATCGCTTCTAATTCTGTCTGCCCTAGATATTCGAAGTGATCGTCTAAATACTTCCATTTCTGTTGCTTCGAGTTTTCTTTTATTGCTTTCTGTTAGTCTCCATGTCTCTGTACCATAGGTTAAACTGGTTTTTATGAGAGATTCATATATGTTGTATTTTCGTCTTTTACCAATTTTTGAGCTCCAAAGAACTCCGTTAAGGCATCCAATTGTTCTACGGGCCTGGGTTATTCGTTTTCTAATTTCCCTATTGTCTGTGCCTGTGGTGTCGAAATCAATTCCTAGGTAGGTATAGGTTATTCCACGAATATACGACTGTTTGGGATTATTGCGACAACGAATATTTTACTGTGCAAGTAGAAGTATGAAAGTAAATTGGTCTAATTATTATTCCAATAAAAAGCATCTACTGTTAGTATTACATCTGAACTAAAATTATTTCAGTTAATAGATGTACAAATAGACGCAAAATTTATTGTGAAATTTAATCCGAAAATACCAAACATTTTTTCGCAAACGGTCATTTTTACGAAAATGTGTTCATCAGACATTTGGCTTGGATTTCGGTGAAATGTAAACAAAGTGCATTTGAAATGTAAACATTTGTAAATAAATGCAAACAGGCGCGCCGGGTTTCTTTGATATTATATTTTATTACTTTATTAGGTAAGAGAACTGTAATAAAAATAAATATACCATTTTTATTATACATGAAAAAAAATTGGCAGAAGGATGGTTCAGAAACCAGAAATAGAATCTATATAATAGTTCACTTTGTTAGTTTTAAATATTTGTTTGGTTTGAGTGGATGTACTCTTAAGTTCCGAAAGTTTTTTTTATAACGGGTATAATATACCGGCTATTGATAGTTAAAGTACCGAGTCGTTACAGATATTAAAAAGTAACGAAAATTTACATACAGTTTCATATATCGCCGACTGATTTTAGTTTTAAAAACCGTCCGTATAGGGGTTTCCGGTGAAGAGAGGTGTCCGTTAAGATAGAGTTTAGTATAGTGTATTTGTTTATTGAAGCTAAAAATGCCGAGACGTGTTTTAGATGTAGACAAGTTTATAATTAATGTACTTTCTTATTTTACTGCTGAGAAAACCAACGGGGGCCCTTTGCGACCTGTTGAGTCCGTATATAAACGTGTGTGTGATGCACTCTGTATTAGTGAAACAAAACTAAAGTCGGTTTTGCAAAAAGAAAAAAAAAGTGGACAAAGTGAACAAAATGTCGCACAATATAAATCTCGCCGACAACCAAAGACTATAGATCTTCCCGAAGGTTGCAAATTTGAAATCCGTGAGACAATATATAAAATGCGCGAAAAGAAAGAATATGTTTCTTTAGATTCAGTGCTACAAAAATTAAAAGACAGAAATATATTTGAAATTTCCAGAACAAGTCTCTGGAGAGTTTTAAGACAGATTGGCTTTAAGTTCAAAAAGGAAGACAATAGAAAGGCTTTGTGTGAAAGAGCTAGTGTCGTTCACAAAAGAATAGAATTTTTTAAGAAATTACAACAAATTTAAAGAAGAATGTTCTTCCTTCGTTTATTTAGACGAAACATGGATTTTTGCTAAAGGCGGTATCAAACGAATGTGGCAGGGCGAGAGTATAAAATCCATAAAACACATCGATAACGAGGGAAAGAGATATATTATAGTACATGCAGGTGGAAAATATGGTTTTATTGAGGGAGCAGATCTTGTGTTTTCATCAAAATCAAAATCAGCCGATTATCATGACAATATGAATACGGAGATGTTTGTTAAATGGTTGAAAGAAAAACTGTTGCCAAGTTTACATGAACCATCCGTTATAGTACTGGATAATGCTGCGTATCATTCGGAAATTTTAAATAAGCAACCAACAAACACCTGGACTGTAGATAAAATAAAAGAATGGTTAACGAATAAAAATATTACATTTCTTCAATACTGTTTTAAGCCTCAATTACTAACGTTAGCTAAAAGTCATGCACAACCAAACATATATATAGTAGACGAAATTATACATAGCTTTGGACATCGTGTGTTAAGACCACCGCCCTTCTTTTCTTCTTCTTTTGCCCTTTAATTCGTCCAATTTTGAACATAGGCTTCCCCCAGTTTCTACCGCCTAAGACTACCGCCCTATCATTGCCAATTCAATCCAATTGAATATATTTGGGGGATTTGCAAAACATATTATGATAACCATATTGGATACAAGGGTTACAGTGACGAGGCAGTCTTGGAAACATGGCAACAAGCATTGGATATTGCCACTCCTGAAATTTGGGGAAAAAGTGTAAAAAAATGTGAAGACTTAATTAAAGAATGGTGGATCCGTGAAGGTCGCATCGAAGCAGTTAATCCTATTATAATTTACCATCCAAATGAGGATAGCGACGACAGTGATTATGGCTGTGAATCTGATGGTTGATAATAGTTTTAGGAGATTAGGTGAATAAGAGAACAAGTAAGTTTTTTTGTTTTTTTAATACTAATTGAATATTCGATTAAATAAAGTACACTATTTAATCACTTAAGTATTTAATCACTTCGTTTAAATCACTTAATTAAAACACCAACTTGTTTAAAATACTAAACTTAATGATAGTAATTATATAATTTAAATTCTGAATTACAACTATTATATAAACTATCAACTCTATATTTATATCATGACTTCATATTTAAATCTAAGGTTTATATCTGTCGTAACAGTATTTTTAAAATGGGGAGAATTTACTATTGTACAATGCAGCACATTGGACCATTTAAGTCGACACCTTAAAGTGAATTTAAAACAGTCGTATATTCGTGGAATGGAGTATATATTCAGTGCAGAATGCAATTTCGGTTGTGTCCATCTGAATGTTGGATAGTTCTGCGCCTATTGGGAGATATTTTGTTTTTTGTGTATTGAGTTCTAAACCCCACTTTTTGTATTCTTCCTGTAGTTTTCTGGCCATATATGTCAGGTCTTCTTTATCGTTGGCTATAAGGACTTAATCGTCTGCAAACTGTAGGGTATATAGGCAAGTTTCTCCCAGGTCAATGCCCATTCCTCTTCCACTGATACAGTGCTTACGCATCCTACGTGCTAATCGCCACGTAGACTTTAAACAATGTGGGGGATATGCAACACCCCTGCCGGAGTCCCTTGTTTACAGGAAATTTTTTTGAAAGTCTATTTCCAATTTTTATTCCCGACGTTCATCCTTCATTAAGGGCGTTAATTACTGTGTGGTTAATGTTTGTTTCCTGCAAAACTTTCCATAGCTTTTTAGCGGGTACAGTATCATAGGCCTTCTGAAGGTCTATAAACATAAGGTGGGTTTCTTGGTTGGTACTTGATCTTTTTTCTATTATTTGTTTCAAAACACACATTATCGGTGCAGCTCCTTCCCGCTCTAAAGCCAGATTGTTCCTCTTCTTGTTCCTTATATTCTTGCTCGATAATGTCTCGAAGTATCCTTCCATATAGGCGACTTAAGGTACTGGCTACTGATATACCTCGATTGTTTGAGCAGTCCAGTTTACTTCCCTTCTTATGTATAGATGATATGAAGGATACTTTCCACTCATGCGGGACTGGTGCACCGTTTAGATATTGGTTTATACACCAGGTTAATCGTTCAAACAGTTTGTTAGTGCCGCATTTGATTAGTTCTGCTGGAATTCCCTCCGGACCTGCAGCTCGACCATTTTTAGTAGTTGTATCGTTTTTATGACAGTCCTCTCATCGATGTTTATCGTTTCTCCCTGTATGTGTATTTCAGTTGGAGACATTTCTCTATATTCCTCTCTGTTTTCTGTTAATAGATTTTCGTAATGTCGGATCCAGTTCTCTGTTAATATTAATTGTATGTTTGTTTCTCTTTTTTTATTTGATTTAACTTTTGTCAGGAATTTCCACGTCTCTGAGCATTTTCTACCTCCCATATATGTGCCTATCTCTTTGCATTTTTTGTCCATATTTATTTAAATGTATTAAAAAAATGTCAACAAAATAATTACACATACATTTGATTATTTTTAATTAAAAAAAAATATATTTATTTACATAACTCACAAATAAAACCAAAGAATTTTTGGAACGTCAGCACAATGAGAACAATTATTATTGCACCGCACCCAATCTCGCATTATATGGATGGAAAGTCTTCCAGATCATCATCTTTAGTGTTGTTAAACAAATTTTCTTCTTCACTATCGTGTTTAACTAACCTTTTACTGACGTGTCGTTTTCTCCTTGCTGGAGGATCTTTTGGCTTATTTTTCAATTTAATTTCCTCCATATTAGGAGTAGAGGTTAGAACTAATGATGTTTGACGAGTCTTTGGTTTACGTTTTCCCTGTCCACTAATAAATTTACCTTTTGGAGCCGGAGAAAGTTCCAATATAGAAACAGAAAGAGTGGAAGTCGAAGCACGTTCTTTTTTGTCGGTGGATAGACAATTATATTGTGACATACGTTTTGTAATAGCGTTTTGTAAAATAATAGATACTGGAATTTGATATGAATCATTATCGGCTTGGTGCATGGATGTATGCAGCTTGCACTGAGATTGTGTAGTCGGAGTAACTTGTAGAATATTTGTTGCAGGAAGCAGAAAGATATCATCTTGTGGCTATTGAGATGGCCCAGCAGTGGAAATATCGGTGGTTGTTTAGATAGCCCAGCATTTGAAATATCACCTAAAGTCGTTGGCTGCTCAAGCTGCTCATTGGGAATACTTCCCAGTGGTCTATTTGTAGTTTCCGCGGGTTCATACATATAATCGGGAAATACGTCTGGATTTAAAGGCCAAATACCAGCACTTTTGAATCAGTTAC